AGCTGGATTGCACAGCAGAGATAGGGACAGGAGCTGGAGAATGGAGATAGGAGCTGGAGAACACACCAGGGGTGGGGACAGGACCTGGATTACACAGCAGGGATGGAGGACAGGACCTGGAGAATGGAGACAGGAGCTGGAGAACACAGCTGGAGAACACAGGGATGGGGACAGGAGCTGGATTCCAGAGCAGGGACAGGGACACTGACACCTTGTCCCTCCCCCCCTCTCTCCGCAGGGAGAACCGGGAATCGCGGGCTTCAAAGGCGAGCAGGGACCCAAGGGTGAGACGGTGAGTCCGGGCCCGAGGGGGGGCCGCACCCGGGACCCCCCACTCTGGGCAGGGACCCCTCCCCGTCCCCGCGGCGTCTCCTCGGCGTCTGCCGGGGCCTGTTCCCCTCGGGAGGCCCCTCGAGGGGCAGCGTCCCCCTCCCGCGGGGGGACAAAGGGCCGCTGTGTGCGCGCCCTGTCCCCCCCCGCGGGGACATTCCCCCCTCGCTTCATTAACCACCCTCAATGCCGGGGCTCCGCGGGGCCCCGGCGCCGCCGGGGCTGTGGGGGGCACGTCGGGGGGCTCCTGCCCGGCTGGGGGGGGACGGCTATGGGGGGAGGAAGGCTCCTGGTGACCCCCTTTTCCCTCCTCTCCCTCCCCCCCGCAGGGCCCCGCGGGACCCCAAGGTGCCCCCGGGCCGGCGGGCGAGGAAGGCAAGAGAGGAGCCCGCGGCGAACCCGGCGCTGCCGGTCCTTTGGGACCCCCGGGAGAAAGGGTGAGTGTGTGTGTCCCCCCATCCCGCCCCAAAACCCACCCCAAAAAAATCTCTCCTGACTCCACTTCTCCTCCTCCTCCTCCACAGGGCGCTCCCGGCAATCGCGGCTTCCCGGGACAGGACGGGCTGGCCGGACCCAAGGTGGGGGGGTCGCGGTGAGGGGTGGGGAGGGTCACGGGGGACAAGGGGGGGATTTCTAGGGCGGGGACCACCCCCCTGAACCCCCGGAGTCACCCCCAACCCCTCGCAGGGAGCTCCGGGCGAGCGCGGCCCCGCCGGGCTGGCTGGTCCCAAAGGAGCCACCGGCGACCCCGGACGGCCCGGAGAGCCCGGACTGCCCGGAGCCAGGGTGAGAAACGGGGGTCCCACAGCGGGCGGGGGGCACTGGGGGGGGCAGGGGGGGGTCAGGAGGGGGGGGGGGGAGGGGGGGCCAGGGGGGGTGGTGGGGGGGCCCCATTGGGTCGGCGGGGGGGGGCTTTGGGGTCAATGAGGTGTTTTTGGGGTCGGTAAGGTGCTTTTGGGGTCAATAAGGAGCTTTTAGGGTTAAGATGCTTCTGGGGTCAATGAGGTGCTTTTGGGGTCGATGAGGCATTTTTAGGGTTGATAAGGTGCTTTTAGGGTTGATAAGGTGCTTTTAGGGTTGATAAGGTGCTTTTAGGGTTGATAAGGTGCTTTTAGGGTTATGATGCTTCTGGGATCAATGAGGCACCTTTAGGGTTGATAAGGTGCTTTTAGGGTTATGATGCTTCTGGGATCAATGAGGTGCTTTTGGAGCCAATGAGATGCTTTTAGGGTTAAGATGCTTTTGTGGTCAGTTAGGTGCTTCTGGGATCAATGATGTGCCTTTAGGGTTGATAAGGTGGTTTTAGGGTTGATAAAGTGCTTTTAGGGTTGATAAAGTGCTTTTAGGGTTGCCTGAGGTGCTTTTAGAGTTAAGATGCTTCTGGGGTCAATGAGGTGCTTCTGGGGTCAATTAAGTGCTTTTAGGGTTGATAAGGTACTTTTAGGGTTGTCTGAGGTGCTTCTGGGGTTGATAAAGTGTCTTTGGGGTTAATAAGGTGCTTTTAGGGTTGCTTAAGGTGCTTTCAGGGTCAATGAGGTGCCTTTAGGGTCAATAGGGTGCTTTTGGGGTTGTTTAAGATACTTTTGGGGTCAATGTAGTGCTTTTGGCCTCGGCCCTGGTGCTCTTTGGCATTAAGGTGTTTTCTGGGGTTGGGTCAGTCACTCTTTGGTGCGAAGCAAGAAATCCTTTGGGGTTAATTAAGATGCTCTTGGCTAATTAAGATGCCTTCTGGGGTGTCCAAAGCACATTTTGGGGCTAATTAAGATGCTCTTCGCTAATTAAGACACCTTCTGGGGTGACCAAGGTGCATTTGGGGTTAAGGCACACTTGGGGTTTGCAAAGATGCTCCTTGGGGTTGGGTGTTCTTTGGGGTCAGATCCTTTTTGGGGTTGGACACTCTTTGGGGTTGGATCCTTTTTGGGATTGGGTGCTCTTTGGGGTCAGATACTTTTTGGGGTTGGACACTCTTTGGGGTCAGACATTCTTTGGGGTCAGACACACTTTGGGGTTGGATCCTTTTTGGGATTGGGTGCTCTTTGGGGTCGGATCCTTTTTGGGATTGGATCCTTTTTGGGATTAGGTGCTCTTTGGGGTCG